ATTTTATGTTTTGCGGTTCTTATGGGCGCTTTTGCGTTTTTTTTTTTATCACTACCTCGCCTTCTGTGGATGGATCTTCTCCAAATTTGGTATGGAGGTTCATTGGGAGATATATACAAATTTTCAGTTTTATATTTTGCGTTTTTTGGTATTTATGGCAACTACTTCGCTCCCTGTTGATGGATCTTCACCAAATTTAGCATGAAGGTTTTTTTTTTGTGTCCATGCGGAGATATATGCAAAACTGCGTTTCACATTTTGTGTTTTTTGCGGTTTTATGTTTTTTTACAATTACATACACGGGAAGATATCTTTCACGTCCTAAGATAATCTTTCATTAATCATGGATTTACACAACTCGTGTTTCCTAATGAATAAACGTTTCCCACGATGTATATTATATTTATGTGCATCACTTAGATAGATAACCTGTATAGAAAAACGTTGTGGAAAGTAATGAACTGGTGTGATTAGGACTCAAATGGCGGAAAATTAATAGTTGTGATAAAAACTACCAAACTACCAGATACTTTGTGAAAACAAACAAACAAACTATTGCCTTAGTTATAATTGTATTTTAAACGTTAATGTTTTTGATTATTATTAAGATAATAGCAAATGACCCCAAAATACCAAATACATTTAGCCATATGCCATAAAATTATAAATTTAACGATAGTGGTTCCATCTATACATTTGATTACTAACCTGCCATTATAATTAGTATTATATTTATTGTATGGGTGTTTTGTTATTCATTAAGTTATGGATTATTTATTTACACACGTAAAAGTTTTTGTTTCAACTGTTATTGTAAATGTGGTAGTGACAAATATTAATGAAAGTATTAGGTCGTCAAGAAGTTAATGTAGCTTTTTTTTTAGATGAAAAAAAAAAACCCGAACAACTTGTATATCAAAACAAAACATTTATTAAATGAAATAGTCTCAATTCTTATCGATGATGCTTTTCCATCTTAGAGTCAGGTTGTTAATGCCATGATTAAAGAAATCATTTGGCTTTAAAACAAAAAACACGTCGATGTCCTCTTTAACACCTTCCACATTTTCATACGTTTCCCATGAAAATGATGTTGCAGCAAACAAAAAGATGGAAATCTAATGGTGTCATATCTAGAAAATAT